GTGGGGACCCTGAATAAATAAATAATGGGGGGGACCTAATGACCTAATGTTCCTGCCAGGTCCCCACCCATGAGCGGCGGGTGAGGACCCTAATTAATTAAAGGGGGGACCTAATGTCCGCCCTAGTCCCCACCCATGAACGGCAGGTGGGGACTCTAATTAATTAAAGGGTGGACTTAAATTCCCCCCAAGTCCCCACCCATGAGCAGCAGGTGTGGACCCTAATTAATTAAAGGGGGGACCTAATGTCCCCCCTGGTCCCCACTCATGAGCGGTGGGTGGGGACCCTAAATAAATAAATAATGCGGGGACCTAATGTCCTCCCCAGGTCACCACCCATGAGCGGCGGGTGGGGACCACAAATAATATAGTGACTACGGATCCCCAAGCCCCTAGTCCCCCCCCAATAAAAATACCCTACCTTCCCCCCTCACACTAATAATAGTGAGGGGGGGACTGATAAACTAACCCTGTAAAATAAAATGTCATACATACCATTAGATGTCTTCTTTCTTATTTGCTATTCTTTTTCAGCCCCAAAAAAGGCCAAATAAAAATCCAAAATACCCGTCGCAACTGTTTAAATAAAAAAAGCCTGAGCACAAAAAAATTATGATGAAAAATAAATAAATCCCAACGCTAAAAAAATTATCCTTCTTTACTCAGCAAAGGCATGACACAGAATTCCAAAGAACTTCCCCACACTGTGTAAACGGACTCTCTGATTGGTTGATTGAAAGCAACCAATCAGAGTGTTATAAGTCAAATTACACAGCATGGGAAAATTCCAAAGAACTTCCCCACATTGTGTAAAATGACTCAGAACATTCTGATTGGTTGGATTCCAAGCCAACCAATCAGAGTGATGTGACAGGTAAATGTAGAGACTTACCTATCAGTCTCTTCATTTACCTGTCAGAGCACTCTGATTGGTTGGTTTGGAATCAACCAATCAGAGTGCTCTAAGTCAAATTGCAGGACGTGGGTAGGCTTTATAAGCCTTTCTCTGCCCTGCAGAGCTCATTCTGCATGGTGCCCTCGCTGGGTGAAGAAGGATTATTTTTTTTCCGGCATATTTTTTATTTTTTCAAGCGTTTTTTTTTTTTTTTAAACAGTTGCAACGTGTATTATGGATTTTTATTTGCCCTTTTTTGGGGCTGAAGAAAGAAAAGAAAAGAAGACATCTAATGGTAAGTATGAAATTTTATTTTACAGCATTTGTTTATTGTCCCCTCACTATTATTAGGGTGAGGGGAGTAAGTAGGGTATATTTATTGGGGGGGAGTGATTAGGGGCTTGGGGACCCGTAGTCCCTTTATTATTTGTGGTCCCCACTTGCCGGTCATGAGTGTGGACATGGGGGGAACATTAGGTCTCCTCCCATTATTTATTTATTTAGGGTCCCCACCCACCGCTCATGGGTGGTGACCAGGAGGGACATTAGGTCCCTCCTTTATTTAATTAGGGTCCCCACTCACCGGTCATAGTTAGAGACCTGGGCTGGACATGACGTACCCCACATTATTTATTTATTTAGGGTCCCCATCCACTGCTCATGGGTGGGGACCAGGAGGGACATTAGGTCCCCCCTTTAATTAATTAGGGTCGCCACCCGCCACATTAGGTCCCCCCTTTAACTAGGGTCCCCACCCGCTGCTCATGGGTGGGGACCTGGGGGGGACATTAGATCCCCCCAATCATTTTTTTATTTAGGGTCCCCACTCGTGCTCATGGGTGAGGACCAGGGGGGGCATTAGGTCCCCCCATTATTGATTTATTTACAATCCCCACCCGCCGCTCATGCGTGGGGACCAGGGGGGACATTAGGTGTCCCCCTTTAATTAATTAGGGTCCCCACCCGCTGCTCATGGGTGGGAACATTAGGTCCCCCATTATTTATTTAATCAAGGTCCCCACCCGCCATTCATGGGTGGGAACCTGGGAGGGACACTAGGTCCCCCTGTTTATATTAATAGCCCCTACCTGTGGATCACAGGTAGGGGTTAGAGGGGCACTATGTCCCCCCCATTTTAGTTATTTGGGTTCCCCACTGTGCCAGGTCCTCCCTTATTGCACTAGTGCCTGGGCAGCAATAGCTGCCCAGTCACTAGTACTTTTAAATTTGTTTAGGTGACATGCCCGTGAGTAGGGCATGTGGAAGGATTTAACCCCCCTTTTATTAATATGGGGGTCATAGTGACCCCCATAGGTTTTATAAAGGGAGGGGGTAGGAATTAATATTATTACAAGGAGGGAAGTGGTGGTGCTGCCGACTCGCTCCTTGTTTGTTTGTTTTTTGTGCATGCGCAGTGTTATTTTCTATAATACTAGTTTGTAGGGATGTGCATGGGGAAAAATTTCGGTTCGGCATTCTGCAATTCGGGACTTCGGCCATTCGGGACTTTGGCCATTGGGTTCGGCACCTCGGCACTTTGACACTTCGATACTTCAGAACTTCGGCACTTCGACATTTCGGAATTTCGGCAAATTCGGAACTTCTGCAACTTCGGAACTTCGGCACTTTGGCATTTCGGGACTTCGGCACTTCGGGACTTTTCTTGCAGTCGCTAAGTAGATAACTCCCTAATTCCCACGGTACAAAAGGCTGAAAGATCTAAATTGATCTTTCAGACAAATGTACTAATACTATGTAAAAATTACTTAGTATTAGTAAATTTTGCCCCTACTCGCTATACCGCGAGTAGGGGCATATCTATTAAACAGTGAGCAGCCTGTGGCTGCTCACTGTAAAAAAAAACAACCTAAAAGTAAAACATTCCCCCCCCGACCTCCACCCCTGAAGGGAGGGTGGGGGCCCTAAAGTATAATATGGGGGGTCCTATTGTCCCATGTCCCCCCAGCCCCCAGCTCCCTGAGAGGCGGGTGGGGGCCCTAAAGTAAACTAATGGGGGGGACCTATTGTCCTCCCACCTGGCCCTACCCATGAGTGGCGGGTGGGGTTCCTAAGTTAGGATTAGGGGGGGGGACCTATTGTCCTCCCCACCCGGTCCCCAACCCTGAGCGGCAGATGGGGGCCCTGAATATCAATAAAGGGGGACCTATTGTCCTCCCCCATGGCCCCCACCCCTGAGCGGTGGGTGGGGGCCCTAAATACCAATAAGGGGGGGGACCTATTGTCCTCCCCCTGGCCCCCACCCCTGAGCAGTGGGTGGGGCCCTAAATAAAAATTTAACCCCCCAGGTGACTAGTGGTCTCCAAACCCCTAGTCACCCCACTCCCAAAAAAAAAATAACCCCTTCCTACCACTCTCATCCTAAAAATAATGAGGGGGGCGCCCTTATCTAAATACCTGACATTTTGATGTCTTCTTTCTTCTAAACTCTTGTGCCCCAAAAAAGGCCAAATAAAAAGTACTTAAAAAAAAAAAAATAATAATCCATCTTCACCCATGGAGGGCTCCGCTCAGGGGTGGGGGCCAAGGGGAATAGGTCCCCCCCCTTATTGATATTTAGGGCCCCCCTCCGCCACTCAGGGGTGGGGAATGGGGGGGTGGACAATCGTCCCCCCCTAATTCTAACATAGGGCCCCCACCCGCCACTTCTGGGTGGGGACCGGGGGGAGGACAATAGGTCCCCCCCCATTCAAAGTAACCAATCAGAGTTACTGATATGTTATGAGTCAAATTACACAGCGTGAGAAAATTCCAAAGAACTTTCCCACGCTGTATAAAATGACACATAGCACTCTGATTGGTGGATTTCAAGCCAACCAATCAGAGTGATGTGACAGGTAAATGTAGAGACTTAACTGTCAGTCTCTTCATTTACCTGTCAGAGCACTCTGATTGGATGGCTTAAACCCGCCAATCAGAGTGCTCTGAGCCTAATTGCAGGGCGGGGCAAGGCTTTATAAGCCTTCCCCCGCCCTGCAGAGCTCAGTCTGCGTGGAGCCCTGCATGGGTGAAGATGGATAAAAAACTTTTGCGCTCGTTTTTTTTTTTTTTTAAAGTGCGTTGGATATTATAGATTTTTATTTGGCCTTTTTTGGGGTTTAGAAGAAAGAAGACATCAAATGATAAGTTAATTTTTTTTTTTACAGGTATTTAGAGTATTTAGAGAAAGGTACCCCCTCATTATTTTTAGGGTGAGGGTGGTAGGTAGGGGTTATTTTTTGGGGGGAGGGTGTTACATTTTTATTTAGGGCCCCCACCCACCATCCACGGGTAGGGGCCAGAGAGGAGCACAATAGATCCCCCCCTTATTGATATTTAGGGCCCCCACCCACCGCTCAGGGGTGGAGGCCGAGGGGGAGGGCAATAGGTCCCCCCTTATTGATATTTAGGGCCCCCACCCACTGCTCAGGGGTGGTGGCCATGGGGGAGGACAATAGGTCCCCACCTAATTCTTCTTTAGGGCCCCCATCTGCCGCTCATGGGTGGGGGCCGGGGGGAGGACAATAGGTTCCCCCCTTATTCTACCCGAATGTCCGAATTGCCGGAAATTTGTCCAAATTCGAATTCGGACCCTAACAAATTGCATATGTCTTCTAGTTTGCCTTTATTGGCTGCAGGTGATGAGCTTTGCAGTCCTTAATCTACTGATTGTTCAGAAGTATTCTGTATCCATAGATCAAAGAAGGTAACTTTGGTTATGAATTCAAATGAGACAGAGTCTGAAATTTGCTTTAAATGCTTTATTAAGTGTTTTAACTTAATTTATTGAATTACATTCTCGGTAAATACACATCTACACATTCAGTTCTATATTCCTATTTATAGAATCTAATTATCTATTGCTAATTTATTCTGTAAAGCAAATGTTTTGATTTTTACTGTAATTTGAAATGTGGCGGCTCATGTATAACTAGTCACATGTTAAAGTGGCACGGTCACCTTCTGAGAACTTTGGGTAATTTTAAAAGGTCCCCAACGGTGGCTAGGGGGCAGGAATAGGTGAGTTTTACTTAACTGAGCCTGTCCCTTCTTTATAAAATACTCATTTTGCAGGTGGGGTGACATTGCCGTTTTAAGAATGAACTAGTTAAAAAGTCTTCATGCAAGCTCTTATGTGCAGTATAGCGTCAAAGTCAATCAAGTCGCAGTTATTTTTGCTCGGCAATACATTCACCTTTTCGATGACAAGCCCAGCATTAATTACAGCCTGTTTTACAAACTGTTCATCAAGTGGTAGAATAAAGAATTTCTCCCCATCAACCTTATAGAATGTCATGTTTAAGGCTGTAAACAGTATCAGGTGTCCCTCAGGTTTTAGTTGAGATGTAAGTTTTTTCAGGTTGTTCTGGAAGGCGTCTTTGTCTTTGCTGATAACGTCCAGTAGAAACAGACTGAGAATGCAATCTGCTTGGGGTAAATCGGCAGGGATCTGATCGTCGTTAGAAATATCCCATTTTATTACTCCTTTAATTGCTTGTCTTGTTCCTTCACGTGCCATGCTTCTCTGCAATTGGAAAAACACAGATATTACAACACTCATAGTATATTCGTCATTCGTACCTTGAAAGAGGTATAGCGATATTTTGGTGCTCAGCGAAAAGCAGTACAGTTCTGGGAAAAGTCTTGAAAGTGAAGCAATAAGCTACATTTTTCCAATGATTTCCATGGTGATGCCTTACCTTCTATAAATTTCCTCAGAAGATATTATCAAACATGTTCTAAAATGTGTCTCACACTTTGGTTTACCTGCTTATCAACGATTGATATTTGGATGTTGAGCTTTTTGCCTTACAAGGGTTAACCCTACCTTAAGTAGAGTTTGATTATTTTCAAAGATCGGCAATTAGACTTTGATCTTCTACTATTGTCCCTGTACAGCCTCCGTCCCCTTGACGTTCCAAAACAGGGCGGGCTAGATGACGTAGTAATATGGAGGCGGGTCTTACTCATTTAAAAGACCGGGGGGATACCCGGCACGGAGACACTCTTAGTGCGCAGAAACGCGCATCGAGTTAGACAGGGTTTTTTATTAGGTAGAAGTCTTGTTTGCAGCACAGTTACCCTTAGCTGGTCCGGGGATGATTATATATTAGCAGCCTGTAGCTGTAGCTAATTCACTCAGTAGTTCATTCAATAGCAGTTTTTGGAGATCTCTTTCTTCTCCCTTATAACGTCTGCAGTAGGGAAGCTTTTTATCTATTTATTTCTAGAGTCTTGCCTTATGCACTATTCACTCCCTTTTAGGATTGCACTTAGGTGGCTGTACTATCCCGACTCTCTGACAGTTACTCCCTTTTGCATACATTTAGATAGTGTCAGCAGTTTATTTGCTACAAATTATGACCGTCATGTATTAAGTTATTTAGAGGTAATTCAGACTCTTTTCTGGGGGGGGGGGGGTTCCTGTCTGGTTGTTTAATCAGACTTAGAGACTGATCCCAGAGCTTTTGAGGTCTAATCATTAGACTATATACTAAAGGAGTGCTTTTCCTAAAGTATCAATTAGGATTGCATTTTGGATCCACCGTATGCAACAAAGACTAGGATACTTTTTCAATATTATAATGTTACAAATAACTTTTATTCCTATGTCAAGCTAGGGTCTGCTTGACCGCAGTTTACATACCAGTAGTATGTAAACTGCGGAGTGGGGCATTGGCTCAGCCTGCTCTCCAAATGCTCCACCCCAGGGGCTCATAACTAAACTTAGGTTTGTGTTGTACACCATACATACACCACGTACTCCCCCTGGGGTTGAAAGTTATAGGCCTCTCTGCCTTCACTTTATCACAATATATATATATTTAAATACCTTGTGTAGAAAATACTGTCACTCCTGGCTTTGTAATGAATTAGTTGTTTTATTGTCAAATATCAGTCAACGTTTCAGTTCTCCTTGGAACTTTCATCAGGACATCTGTATCAATATATACTTAGAATGAATACATATTAATATAGCTACACAAATTTGGGGTAATTCTCATCCTGGGCTGCCATACAGTCTCAAAGGCAACATTACCAATTTGGTAAATTTCAAAGTGTACAAACAGAAATGGGTATTCTTATGTTTGACCCTGTAAGTTTCCAAAACACCATGAAACCCTGTACATCGGAGGTATTATTGTACTTGTGAGACATTACTGAATACAAATATGAGAGTTTTAGAACAGTAAACCATATAGCACTGATGATATCATTGGTGAAAGGGCAGTTAATTTGTGAAAAATGCAAAAAAATAAATATTGATGCTAACTTTGACCAGGGTTTGTGGCTACTAAACAAGGCTGGACATATCTCCACATACCCCATTTTGAATACCCTGGGTTTTCTACTTTTGCAACTAGTATGCAATGATGGGGTTCATTTTCACTCCTGGGCTGCCATATGTTCTCAAAAACAACAAACCAATCTGGCAAATTTCAATGTGTAAAAACTGAAAACATGAAAGGCCCTATATTTAACCCTGTCACTTTCTGAAACCTTATCAAACCTGTACATGGGGGTACGGGTGTACCACGCAGATATTGCTGAACACAAATATGTGTATTTTACAGAAGTAAAATCTAACAGTATTAAATTATGTTTCATATATAAATATTTGATGTCAAATGAAAGCCCTGTTTCACCGGAATATGATGTATAATAAGTGTGGGTGCACTTAAAAAAGGTAAATTATAACCCAAGTTCCAAGTTTTGTTTTGATTAGAACTTGTACCTTTGCCTCCATCCGTAAGCATTTAAACCAGTGGTTCACAAGCTTTTAGGTTCAAACCACCCTTAATATTTCAATATTTTTCCAAGGCGACCCAAGTCAAAATAATTTCTAAGTTGTGTATATGTACAGTAACGCGGCATATATTGGGCCCCTGTTCGGAAGAAATGCTTGCCATTCAAGCACAGATCCAGAACCTAATCTTGGGAGGGACACTGATATTTAAAGAAACAATCCAGGCACAATACTCACTACAGCACTTTGTAGTAGTTATGGTGCCAGTAGTGCCCTCCCAGAGTACGTAGTCAAACTGTTTAAGGGATCTGCATGCGCGTGTCAGGGTTGCAGGTTGTGCATGTGAGTGATGAAGTGAGTGTACAGGGGTGCATTGTGTTTGTGAAGGATGTAGTGTGTGTGTGTGTGTGAGGGGTGCAGTTTGTGTATGTGGGGGAGTTTGTGCATAAGGAGTACAGTGTGTGTGTGTAGGGGTAGTGTGTGTAGGTGGAAGGTTGTATGAAGGGTACAGTGTGTGTGTGAGGGCTACAGTGTGTGTGGGGGGCAGATTATGTGAGAAGTACAGTGTGTGTGTGTGTGGGGAGGGCAGTGTATGTGTGTGTGGGGCAGTGTGTGGAGGGGTGCAGTGTGTGTGGCAGGGCAGTGTGTGTGGGGGCAGTGTGTGGGTGGGCAGTGTGTGTGTGGGGGCACAGTGTGTGTGATGGGTACAGTGTTTGTGAGGGGTACAGTTTGTGTATGGAGGGGCAGTGTGTGTCTATGGGGAAGTAATGTGTGTGTATGGGGGGTAATGTGTGTGTATGGGGGGGAAGTGTGTGTGAATGGGTGCAGTGTGTGTATGGGGGAGCATTGTGTGTGTATGGAGGGAGTTAGTGTGTCTCTGGGGGGTAGGAGGGAAAATATTTAAATATACAAAAAAAAAAATTCAATTACAAATAATTATTTTCATAACCCCCCCTCCCTGCTTACCTTTGCCTTGGAGGGGGGACAGTACTAATCCCTGGTGGTCCGGTGGAGAGGCCCTGGTGGTTTTAGTGGTGAAAGTGAACTCTAGCCTGCAGCTCAGGCTAGAGTTTACTCTCGCAAGATTTGGAGCGTTCCCGTGGTAATTGTGGCAACACTCAGAGGTTGCGAGAAGAAAACTGGGTGGAGCTGCGAGTTAGAGCTCCCCGGGTCCTCTCTCCCGACCTGCCGGCTGCCAGCATTACATTGCTAGCAGGCCGGAGAGGGAGATCTCTGATCTCCCCTCTGGTCCTGCAGAGCCAGCATGGGACAGGGAGGCACAGCGGGGGAGGCACATGAAAATATCAGCGGGGGAGGCACATGAAAATATCCTGGGACATAACGGCACACAGTTTAGGAACCGCTGGGTTAGACTAACTATTTAGTTAGCCCCTAGGGCTCATTGAAAATGTGATTTTACTCAACTTGTATCTCAAGCCGTGCTGGTCCCACTGTGGCTGTCCCCAAACTTGATGATACCAGCCAATCCAATCAATGTATCTCTATGGGGAACATTCAAGGTCTCCATGCACACTGTGCAGCACTGACACAGGAAGCACCTTAAGTTGCTGTCTTAGTGACTACCATTAGAGGTGTAACTTGCCAGTGACTACCACTAAAGGTGTATATTTTCTCTGAAAAGGCACTGTTTACACTAAAAAGCCTGCGGGGACATGCTATAGACACCAGAACCACTATATTAGGCTGTTGTGGTTATGTTGACTATAGTGTCCCCTTAATTTTTTTTAAATGATTTATTTATTCAGACAAAGATTTTCATTTCAGTACAATAAAAGAGTAATGGTCAGAGTGTTGTTTTTGTTTTAGTAAAGTGGGACATTAGCTGTGTGCTAGCATATGTAACAATACTAGATGAAATTAGTATATGGGATGACAGAATGTTGATTAAAGTATAGTAAAGAACTAATGAGAATATGTTAAACAGTCGAAATCTTAGCATGGTATGGTCCCTTTGTGATAAGATATTGTGTTATTTATGGGTGTTGCAGTTGCTTTGCGTATGTGGGCTATTACATTGTACAGTATATGTTCATGAGTAGTCCTTGTGGTATTGTGTATGATATCTATGAAAGTGGGCTGTGTATGGGGGCTGCTTTTGTAACTGTGTGTGTGAATGGTGTGTCACATTGTGTGTGTTGTGTGTGTGTATCTGTGGTGCTGCTTGGGTTATTGCATGTGACAGGCTTCTTGTATGATTGTGTTCGTGTATGTGGATTGTCAGTGGTGTTGTGGTCGTAGGGAATGAGTGTGTGTATGTTTACGAGCTGTTTGTATTATTTTTATGAGGGAGAGGCATCTTCTGCAGCTCTGTATATCAATATCAATATCAATCACCACTCGGTTTGCACTAGCAGATAACTGAAGTCCTAATGGAACTGCTGATAGGCCAGAGCCTCTTTGTCTCTGGCAGCCTTGAGTGCTGTTCAAAGGCACCTTGAGTGCTATGCATGGCACATGTGCCATAGGTTGCTGACCACTGGTCTAGATCATACATTACCTGCCTCCTTCTAATGTGTAATGAACCTTCGCTCCATATGAGAAGTTAACAGCATCTTGTCTATTTTGTCGCCATTTCTCAAATTCATTAATGTTGAGATCATTAACTTCTACTACATATATATCTTTTAATCCATTGCAGGCTGGTATAAGATGGTTTGCTGAGGCTCCAACGCTAAAATCAATCAACGCTTCTCCCTTCAGGACTCCTGTAAACAATAGAAGACAAGGTCTGTTTATGTACATTCTACACA